AATATCCATAAATCAAATGAAATTAAAGTTAAAATAATTAATTAAAAATTAAAAAATATCATAACAAGGGTTCACCTCATCCTAACAATGTATAAAACTAACCTAACATATTGGAATTACAAGAAATCATGTTAAATTTATAGAACATCACTCACACGCACAAGTCAATTATTACCTGCAACTTTCGTTATACTTATCTTCCCGATATCTGATTGAGACGATTCAAATTGTGTTGGGAAGATAACTAAAATAGCTACAATTATTTTAGAAATGACATTTCTCCAATTCAAAAGTTTGCTAAAATCTGGAGCGTAACTTTTTCGTTTAGAAATTGATTTGTGAGATACTTAGGCTATATGTAACTCATTTGACTTCGAATTACATCAAATTGAACATTTTGCATATTTGATTTTCGTTTTGTAGTTCGAGTCAACTATGGAATTGTTGCAAGTTAGTACATGTACTTTTGATTTCACGTTTTTCCTTTATTTCTTTCAATTACTTGTTCAACCATTGAGTTTTACCTATATAATATAAAATACAACAGTTTATGATATATTTTGTTAAGAGAACTACCAAATATCAATATTTCAAGTCTCGGATAAGTATAAAAAAGACACTTATCATAAATCTTCCTTGCTAAATTAATTTGCACGTTTCAAATAAATAAAAGCATAGGTTTGCTTAATTTATTTCATGCAAGTAAAAAAATGTTTAGATTTTTTCATTCCAAAATTTTTTAAAAAAGGTAGAAAATATATTTAACAATTTGTTTCCTTGAAGGTTCATTTGATACTAGTATTCTATATAGCAATGACATCCGACCATTAGCCTGTTGTAGTGGATTGAGAACCTTATTGGTCTAAAGCACCAAAGCATTGGTGAGGCCAATGTGTCCTCGACCAAGGTTGACCGCCCAAGGAGTGCCCTAGGTCGACAACATTCCTTGCATATACGTCATAGTGGAAACAATGTCAAGGGACACTACCTATATTCTCTTAACATTCTTCAAAACAAATAAGGATATGGGTTCCTAGGTACATAAATGGCTTTTAAATCAAGTCATCTACATAGAGAAGGTGGAAATCTCGATTATCTCTTAACACATTCTTTTTACTTTTTTTCAACTTTTATATTCTCGAGTCATGCTTGGTGTATAGGGGAAACAATGCCGCGGATTTTACAAGGTATGTGCCATTTTATCGTTGGCAGTTGACCAAAAAAAAAAAAAAGACAACCATACATGTGCTACCGTGCAGCACCTGTATGAATTTTGATAGTTATTCCCTTGTAGAAGGGGAATAACTCGTATTTCTTACACTCTCATCAAGAATTCTGAACTTGACCATGTCTGCGATGTCACAATGAGGAGGATAATCTCGTCACATTTACAAGTCTTGAAGCTATCAATTGTCACGTCAGAAAGGAAAAATCGGACTTTAATGTCATTTTATAATTAACTAACGAATTATATTTATAGAAGCAACGGAAAGATTTGTCCATTCTCCATGGACTTGTACGCATGGTTTTTATGTATGACTACAATATATCAACTTCTTAGCTTTATAAAAATTATAGCTTGGAATAAAATAAAAGCGAATGGAAAAGCATATCTCAGCCAACTTTTAGCATAGAAAGGATACCACAATAATTGCATTATTGTAATCACAAATTGGATTAATTTACTAAGCTTTCATGCACAACTCTTGGAGAGTATTGTAAACAATGTTTCTTTCTACAAAATACAAATAATCAATTGAAGATTTCTAAGATTGTGAACATATTTTCTTTAGGAAACATCGTTCAATTATTGATTTACTGATGTGGATTTAGAATGTACAGTTCAAATTAAATATATATTGAATAAAAACACTATCAACGTGGAGCAAAAGTTTCAAGACGTGCGTGTGGTAGTAGCTCGAAAAAAAAAATGAACTAGTACGTGAAGAGAGCTTTTCGTACTCAATTCATCTTATGGACTTATTCTATTAAGTACCAAAAATAATTAAGAATATCATTGTAAATAGCCTTAGTTTCATAATTTTTTTTGAGATTATATGCTGGTCAGAATTCATTTTTAATCATATATTTTATTGAATTCAAGATTTTTATTAATTTTTTAATCATATATTTTATTGAACTCACCAGCTTATCTAAAAAAGCTTTGTCAAACAAGGGAATAGTTGTTGCCATGACTTCTTCAATTGTAATTTAGCATATAAAAATCATTAGTCTATAACAAAAGTTTATGGTAAAAACTAAATAATTGGTATTATCTCAGTACATCTACAATAAAAAAAATATTTTATTTATCATACTACAAAATTTTACATAAAATTCGTACATTAAATACGATAGGGTTTAAATGACGCGAGCCCACTTGTGTTCTCCTATGGTTCGAGTTGAGTGCAAGCCGGCTCGCTCAACTAAAATGTGGCTCGACTTGCCCCACGAGCTCTTTCCTTGGGGTGGAGAGTTTTTTTTTTTTCACTGAAATTGCATATTTTATTCATTATGGTGAGCGGACAAGCTTGCGAGCCAATTCGTAAAAGTTGATGAATGATTCACACGAGAAAAAAGTTGCCCGACTGTCAACTTGCCACACTTAATACCTCTAAAATACAAGAGGGATAATTCCTATGTCACTAATCCAAATAGTATCTTTCTTTCAATATATTGGAAAAAGAATAATGTCAACATCTTTTTAATACCTCTAAAATACAAGTGTCGTTCACACGGAACATTTCCCCTCTTCGGCCTTCAAAGTTCCCATTTTAATATTTTCTACTACCACCTAGATCCGCACCGACGGCCGCGCCGCCCGGGCGCGCGCCCAAGGTTTTGCGGCGACCGCCGCGCCCTCCTACTCATCGGGGCCTGGCGCTTGCCCCGACGGCCGGGTATAGGTCGCGCGCTTCAGCGCCATCCATTTTCGNAATTTTTAAGAGTACTGTTATTCATTATCACTAATGTTCGGGATCAATTTAAGTGGCAATTACATGACATTAAGCCCCTGTTTGGCCCCCATTTTGGGGTGTTGAAATTTTTTGGAATAGTGATTGATGGGAGAATGTGTGGTAGAAAAGTAATGAAAAGTTTTATATTTGTGTGTAATGTTATTTTATTTGATGAATGTGTGGTTGAAACGAAGAGAGAAAAAAATTAATGTAATGTAATGGAAAAAAATGGGGGCCACACTGAAATTAATGTAATAAAATGTAATATTATTTTATTAAAGAATATTGCTATTTAGTCACACTGAAATTATAACTCCAATTTATGTGGTTTTAGGTAATAGACTAAATAAAAGATGAAATTAATTGATTCATTTATAATGTCACATTAGCACCAGATAGAATAGATTGAGATTATGATCAAGTTGAACTAAATATCACTACTCTTTTTTAAATGTAAAGTTACATGACACATTTAATTGAACTTATAAATTTTAGTCATTAATATTGATGCTCTAACATCACTGATTTTAGATAATATTGTTTATTTTTGATACATAAACTATAAAATATTTTACTTAATATTATTCGTATCATCCAACCTATTTCATAAACAAATATCAAATAGCATACATAATACATATATGCTATGCGGTATCAAATAGAACGACAAGAGAAAAAAATTAACTTTTTTTCAATTATTGTTCCTTTGAATTTAAATCAATTAAAAAAAAAGAATTGGATGGTTTTATCATTGGGCCTCGTGGGCCAATGAGAAGGAAGGAGCTATTTAGGTTTTCAATGAGAAGGGATAATATATATATATATATATACTTGGAAAAGATTCGGATAGAACCGTTGTTTAATCGCCAAGTGTCCTATAAATCACCCTTAAATAAATTAACCTTAAAAAAAAACAAAAAAAATCCTCCACCATTTGAAATTCTTCTTCCACAGCTTTTTACTTGCATCAAAATTCTTACCCCACTTTTTGTAAGAGGGAAAGGAAAGATATGAAAAGTTGGAAAATGATAGTTGAAGATAAGGAGAAAACGATCGATCGAATTTCTATCTTTTCGTAATACAATAATTTCAATCCGTACTGTTTTAAAATATTTTTATGATATGTTTGACAAAGATATTTGATTGTTTTCATGAAATAAACAGGCAAGTTCGCTTCGATGCACAATGAACAAATTCAATCATTTCGATACCATTTATTCCATTGCATTCCATTGGCTCAAATTAGAGTAGATGGATCCATTGAGTGAGAGAAAGGGTAGGATAAACTATCGGCTAAATGATTAATATAATATATTTTTATATAGTGTCTTCTGTCGAAAGAAAACAAGTTTAATACTCAAGTTCCGATTTTCGAGGACTGGTATATACGAGTAATTATGATGCACAAAATCAAGGGTCTGTTTGGGCCTGATTTTAATATAAGTCAAAGTCAAACAATCAATATTAACCACATCTTTCATGGGTCCCACATCTTTTCAACCACACATTTCAAAAACTTCTATCACAATCTACTAAAAATCTAATTTTAATCTCCACCAAACACCACTAAAAATTATTTCATCTTTCATGAGTCCCACATCTTTTTAACCACACATTTCAAAATTTTTTTATCACAATCCACTTAAAATCTGATTTTTGTCTACACCAAATACCCTCCAAATGAAACATAAATTGGTTCTCGTTCACTTCGTCCCCACTTAAACAACTTTCAAGCGGGACAGGAAGCCACTCAACCCACTTGCCATCCTAAGAAACGAGATTACCATTAGAATAAAAGCATCGGCCCCATCCAAAATATGAAATTTATATTTAAGTTACTTATTTTTAAGTAGACAACTTATGAGCAAAATCAAATTTCCATCCCACCCTACCAATCTCCCTTTCGTATGGTGTTATTTTATTGCTTGTACGGCCATCACATCTCACAGAGCCTTTTCATCACAATATAAAGACCCACTCCACTATCTGCTCCCTCTATCATTTCTATTGATTCCTTTCATCCTTAGCAAATCAAAATCCAATATGTCTCCGGCGTGTGGCGAGCATCATTCACCGTCCGCCACCGTCAGCGGTGGTGGTTCTGGAGAAATTATGTTGTTTGGTGTCAGAGTAAAAGTTGATCCCATGAGGAAGAGCGTCAGTATGAATAATCTTTCTGATTATCAGCGAATTGTTAGCAACAACAATCAGAACGTCAATGAGAACTCGAACGCGGCGGTGGAGGATGGTGGAGCCACCACCTGTTATGCTTCCGCCGATGACGCCGCACTGCAGCCGGCTGGTGGGAGTCGTGAGCGTAAACGAGGTTAGATCTGTTTTTAATTGTTCAGTTATAATCAATTAATCATAGATCTGGAATAAATATTTTCACTTGAATTTGTGAATTATGAACTATGAATTGGTAGAATAATTGATTTATATTGATTATATTCTTCCATTTTAAGGATCGCCGATTGTGATTATATAGATTTCATGAATTGGCCTTGGATTTTTTGATTTGTCATATGAAAATCTCTCAAGTTTTAAATGAATGATACGTTGCCCAGCTAGTAGACTATCTTTCACAAAAGATTTTAATCTGAATTTGATGGAAAATCATGTTTTTCAAATTTAAACTGAATTTCTAGATACACGAAGATTATTACATTAAGGAAGCCTAATTGGTTATTGAACAGAATAATATATTATTTCTTGATTTGTGGTTGGTATCTAATGTTTTTAGATCTCCACCTGTGGTTTTTGTAGTCAGTCCCAAACTCGGTTAAAGAAGATAGGGTTGTGGTAGGTTTACGAAAAGTGTAATTTTTTGTCAAATCTCTCAAATTTATTGGAACGAGGCTTAGTTTGTTATTGTTGTAATGTTTGCTGAATTGATTTTGATCCGCTTCTTGTTGGTTTGGGATTGTTGTTTATAGGAGTGCCATGGACAGAGGAAGAACACAAGCTATTCCTCCATGGATTACAGAAGGTTGGAAAAGGAGACTGGAGGGGTATCTCTAGAAATTATGTCAAGACTCGTACGCCAACCCAAGTTGCCAGCCATGCCCAAAAATACTTTCTCCGTCGAAGTAACCTGAATCGACGTCGCCGCCGTTCTAGCCTATTCGACATCACCACTGACTCGGTAATTTTATTGATTAAAAAAATTCTCAATATGCGTATTATGGGAAAATATAATTGGATCTTATGTTTGATGTTTCTTTTTGGTTAGTCCATTTCAAGCTGTTTTATTTTGATTAATGTGCTGCAGATAACACTTTCTCCAAAAGTTTGTATTTTCCATACTTCTTGAGAGACACTAGTCATCTTCTTAGGCCAAAAGTGCAAAAAGGAACTTTGTGAGTGCTAAGCACTGTTGTTCTCCACTCGTTTCTTCTAAATCACTACTATTAACGAATAAAGTGAAATATAAAGCAAATATGTGTGACAATTAAGTGAAGGATACTTGTGACCTGTTTAGTATGGCTTTTGAAAAGCTAAGCTTCGACTAAGAAGCTGCTTTTGACCTGTTCTCTTTTAAAGGAAGTTGATCTAAGGTGGCTTCTTCCTAAGTAAAGTCGTCCTCAAGAAGTAAAAAGAAGTACAAACAGAAGCTAAAGTTATCCCAATCAAGGCCGAAAGTGGTTGAAGACGTTCACGTTGATGGGCCAAAAATGAATTTTTTAGCAACTTCAAATTTACAAGGCTTAGATTGTCTTATTGTTATGTCTCGAATGTTGTATAAATAATATATGCATGACCTTTTAAGTTCTGTTCTGTATTGATTAGGTTACTGCAATTCCAATGGAAGAGTGTAAAACCCATCAAGATAGCACATCTCAGCCAGTTCTGCAGCCAATCTCTCTACCCTCGCCAGAAAGTTCCAACATCAGTGGATTCCCAGTCGTGCCTTTCTCAGTGACCATTGGCCCAGTTTTGTTACCAATGCAAGTCGAAAATCCAATTGAAAGTCTCCCTCTCAGCCAATGCGAGCAAATGAATAATTCATCTGCCCTACTCATTCATCCAGCTTCTGTTCTTCCCATGACAACTACCTCAACAGTTATCGATCTTAACCAGAATGTCCCAACCGGGCCATCGCCATTGTCTTTGAGTTTGTCATTGTCGTCTGGTCAGGATAGGGAAAAGTCATCTTCGACAAGGCACTCAGTATTCCAGGTGATGTCAAACTTCAAAAATGGAGATAGCAGCATCATTAGTGTTGCTTGAGGATGAATTGATTCGAGAACATACAATTGGAAAAGAATGGTCGATCGTTATTAGTGAGGTTCGATTAAGAAATAGGTTAAGTGATTAGTTTAACTACTATTGGATCTTTGCTTTGTATAGACATGAAAAATATCATGTTTTATTGTATTCCTTGTTTTATGCTAATGTTCTAGGTTAACGCTTGTCTGTTTTTACTTTTCTTTGAGTTGAGAATAAAGTTGTATTATTATTCAAACCTTTCATTTGTATTGGATGGATTTGTCTAGTTGTTTCTGACAAGATGCTATGCTTAAAAAATTTACTTTGTTAAAAAGTAAGATTTGAAATAAATATTATTTTTTAAATCCTGGCCATGATTTAGTTAATAAAAATGTAAAAATTAAGAAATTATCTCGTGTGTGTATATATATATATATTATATATATATATATAGTTTTATAACTTGAAAGTATCTATTAGCTAACTTCTCGACCTATGAGTTAACTATAATTGTTGAAAGATGCATGACAGAGTATAAACAGGGTATTGCATACCACGTGGGACCCCTTTAATTCAAATTCTATGAGGATTTCGTTCGCTGGATTGTATATATAATGGACATCTAGCATTTTAATGGTATATATTTATGAAACTATTGGAAGTGAAGACGTAACGATTATAGACCATTTAAATTATAATAAGATGGAAACGAGTAATGAATAAATAAATTCTTCGAAATGTAAAGTAAATTTAATTAGTGGTTTAATAAAATTAAACTACTATCAAACAACTACTTTTGCAAACTTGGGTTAGACAATTTTTTTTTTTTTTTT